GTAGAGGTTAAAGTGGTGGGTTAGCCAGCTTGTATTTGAACACTGGGCTAGAGTTGAAGATACGTCTTACTGTGTTGGATTGCGTTTGTTTAAATGTAATATTTGCGTGACTTAGAGGTCTGTAGCACCCTGAGCAGCTTCGGAAATGGATATGGATTCACGAATGTTTTAGAGAAGCTGTCTGACCAAGGCAGGTCCCTCCATCATAAATGTTCCCAAAATGTGAGTCGCTGGGGGAAATGTAGATGTGAGATCCCAGGAGTTCTGAGGTTCCCGCTGTCCATAATACAGGTGGAGACAGAATTGTGGCGAGGCGAACATGAAGACAGAGAACCTCACTAAAGTGACCTGGAAGAGTTTTAAAGAAATCACACGTGGAATTCCTTAAATGAGAATTTATTTTTAATTTAAAAAACAGAACCAAAATGGGGCCAATGCGTCCTGTCACCCTGGGACTGTGATGATTATAGGTTCCTGGTTCCAGAGGTTCACTGAGGGCTGCTCTTTTCACAAATACTCATCCCGATCTTCAGTCCCTGATCATGCCTAGGGACGGGGGTTCTGACCCAGCATCCTTCTTTCTCCCCAGGAGGCTGCCGGTGAGAGGCAGCACAGCTTGGAGGGGCCCCCGGGGAACCTGCTCATGCCCACACTGCATCCTTCCCACATCGAGGCTGGGCAGCGTCTGGGATGGACGCAGCGTCTGTGATGGACCCAGCCTCCCACTGTGGGTGTCTCCAAAGACGCAGACCCTGAGTTCACACTGCACAGGTGCGGCTAGAGCCATGGTGTAAATACCAGGGGGCAGGTGCTGGCCCCAAGGCATCGCTTTCTAAATGTTTTCCAATTTTATTCTTATTCGTTGCTTGCTCTGGCCCGGCTGCCTGCATTCCTAATGGATTCTACACGGTTCCCTTTTATGCTCGTTTTGACTTTGGGGAAGAGCCAGTGTTGTGTTTTTATTTGACAGAAATTGCTGTGAGTGGTTGTTCACTGAGGCGTGTGTGTGTGTGTGTGTGTGTGTGTGTGGGTGTGTGTGTGTGTGTGTGGGTGTGTGTGTGTGCGTGTGTGTGTGATTAAAACTTACTGTGGATATCTAAATGAAAACACTCACTGTAGGGCCACGCATGGTGGCAAATGCCTGGAATCCCAGCTCTTGGGAGGCTGAAGCAGGAGGATCTCCAGGAGTTTGAGACCAGCCCTGCTGGTGAGAGCCTATCTCACAAAATATTTTTTATTACAGTAAAACACACTTTGCCACAAATGTCCCTCACTTCCTACACACTCATCGTACTGTTCTTGGCAATGTGTCTTTTACTGTGATAAGTTTAAAAACACCTTAGACACTGGCCATAGTTTTGACTGCCCCTGTGCATGGGCCGTGCCCTGGGGAGGGAGGAGAGCTGGGGGCTTCCACCACCTTGTGGACTCGGCTGACAGCGTCCATGGGCAGGTATGGACGGCAAAGCCCAGAACCTGGGGCCAGCTGCCCTGCAGAACAGGTTACAGACACAGGTCCTCAGCCAGCGACCCCCAGGGAGGTGCCCGGCCCTGCAGGGACCCAGACCCCTGACCATCGATTGGGCGCGGTGACCTACATGTGTCCCCAGATCCTGCCCGGCCCACACTGACCCCAGGAAAGGATGTCATGGAAGATCCTGGCTTTGGGGACTCTTTTGGAGATGCTGGCCTGGCAACAGTGTGTACCCCCGTGCTGCTTCCTGTGTGCGTGTTCTTATTTATTGACTTTTATTCTTTTTAAAAGTTATTTATTTTGAGATACTGTGTCACTGTGTAGCCCAGGCTGGCCTCCAACTCGTGGGAATCCTCCTGCCTCAGCCTCCCGATCGTGGGGATGACAGGCCTGCACCACCATGCCTGGCCGTTCTTGCTCTCACATAATCTCTGGTTTACAAATGAGGGGCCAGGCAGTAGAGAGGTCGAGGGTCACAGCCAGCGCAGGGGCTGCTGCTCAAGGCTGGTACCTCCCACGCCTGGAGCCCAGCTTCGCAGGGGTCCGCTCTCAGCCCTAGCCCACCTCTCTCACTGCCTTGGTGCTGGGAGCAAGTCCAAGGGTTGTGGGTGCCTCCCTCCTGCCCAGTGTGTCCAGGGAGTGAAGGGCTCAGCGAGAAGAGGCCCCAGCAGGCTGAGGGGGTGAGGGGTCGGTGGTCTGCCTGGCTGGGGGCTGCACTCGGCCTGTCCCACTCGCTTCCCGACTGCTGGTGGAGAAACGCCAGTGTAGACAGTGTTGCAGAAGCCCGAGGAGGACGGGGACGGGGGGGGGGGGAGGAGGGCACACAGAAGGAGAGGGGGAGGGGAAGGGAGCCCTCCCTCCCCCTCCCCCATGTCTTTATTCGGAGTCAGCTCAGCCGATTGTGTGTCCACCCAGTGGCACCTCGCCTCCCTGTCCTCGCCCTTTCAGCTTTGTTTGCCCAGCACAATGCCAAGCTTGTCCCCGTGGGCAGGGCCATCCCGGCTCCTTCATTGTTCCCGTGTCCACGCCCCGTGCTCAGGACGGCCTTGTCCCCGCGTGACTCACCACCCTGTGACTCGGATGCAGGCATCGTGGGTGAGCTGCCCACGCACATGGCGTGGGGCCTGGAGGGAGAGGTGGCTGTGGCCCTGAGGCTGGAAGTGCATTGGAGGAGGCTTCTGTGAGTTCCTGGGGCTCTGCTGGGTGCTGTGTCAGGAGCTGTGCGTGGGGTGTACCCCTGAACCCCAGCACTGGGGAGGCTGAGGCAGGAGGATCTCCTGGAGTCCAAGGCCAGCCTGGGTTACATAGTGAGACCCGGTCTCAGAAACACACACACACACACACACACACACACACACACACACACACAGATGCACACACAATGGAGGAGGACATGAGAGATGCTTCTTTATTTCATGATCCTTTCAATCTTCCTTAAAGTTCTTTTTAAAAACAGACCAGCTAAGGATGGATCAAGAGACGCATTCTAAGTGTAGCACTGTGGACACGAGTTTCACTGTATGACTCTAAATTTTTGTCTGCTTGAAGCTTTTCAGAGTACAGTATGGAGTAAGCAGGCACTCCTGAAAACAACCACATTTTTAAAAAAAGCCCAAACACTATTATTTGTTTTAAAATAAAAACAGGTGAGACGCCTCCTCCTTGGCTCTGCTTCCTTCCGGGCTACTCTCAGCCTCAGTTTCCCCACACCAGCCTGGGGCAGCTTCATAATTAGCAGGGCTGAGTCGGGTTGGCAGCTCCTCCCTCGGGGCTTCCGCCCACTCTGAGCTGGGATTCTCCCCAGGGCCCCTCAGCCCGGTTATTTTTCCCTGTCACAGGGACACTGACCGGGGCACAGAGGCTGGGCTGGATGAGCTGCCCGACCCTGGGGGCACCACTGCTCCCTGTCAGTCTCAGAGGTCTTCACCCCTGCCGCACCCCAGCCAGGAGGCGGGAGCCTTGGTCACCCTCACCTTGAGGTGGGGACGCACCCCATGGCCTCCCCCATGCAGACCCCAGGGGACAGAGCACTGTGTTGCCCTCTGTGGTCAGCAGGCCCACACAGACTCTTCTGAAAGCCTGCATGCGCCCCTCACCCTCTATGCCCCCCAAATGCTCCCACTGGGCTCACCCTGCTGCCCTGGGCTTGGTCCTTGGAGGCAGAGATGCCCTGTCTCTGGTGCTGTGCATGGGCTGGACCGGGTACCTTATTGGCAACGAGTGTGTGGCATGCAAGGGTGTGCTCCTCCACCTCCTGCTGCTGCCTCAGAACCCTGAGATAATTAACTTATGAGGCAAAAGAGCTGCTGTGGGATTGCCCTTTCAGAGGTTCTAATTCCACCACCTCCCTGACAGCATCGGGCTGGGACCGGGCTTTAAGAGTGGGACGGTTAAGATCGGAAGCATGTTTGCCTCCCTGCCCAAGAGGGCAGAAGAGTAAATTCCCCGCGCAGGGGCCCCAGAGCCACACACTCAAACATGTCTCCACCGTGGGGATGCTCCACAGGGCAGCAGCTAGAGGTCAACTAGGGGACACTCGGGGCCGCAGGAGCTGTCCCTGCAGCCTTAGAGGACGAGGCTCTCTGATGAGCCAGGCACATTGGTGATGAGTCTTCTTCCTGTGCCCAGGCGGTGGGTGAGCACAGCTCATGGTTAGAGCACTTTGGGTGCCAGGTACTCATCTGCCTGTCTGTGATCTCCAAACAGCTCCATCTTGCAGATGTGGAAGCTGATGGCGGAGAGGCTGAGTCATGTGTGTAACCTCTGGCTCAGTAGCTGGGGTTGGGTGGGGAAAAAGAGAGAGAGAAAGAGGTCTTCAACCCTCCTATCTTGACTCCTGGGCTACAGATTCTCTGTGCTGTTTCTGGGCATGAGAGCTACAGGCCCTGTTTCTTTCCTTTCAATTTAGCTAGGTCAGGTCCTCTCCTGGGTATCAGTTTGCCAATCTGTGTAATGGGGGCAGTCACCAGCTCTCCCTGAGGGCGCCAGCTTCGAGGAGGCTGTAAGGGTTCTGAAGGTCACTCACCACCTCTGGATGAAGACCTTTAGGAGTCCCTGACCATCTGCCCTAAGTGAAGCATCACCAGCCCTTCTGTCACCTAATGAATACTATGCTTGCTTCGTGTGTCACAGGTCTGAGTCACCCTCCCCGGTTTGGCCCAGATAGCACAGGACAGGGGCTTGTCTCTGTGACACTGTGGGGCCTGGACAGGTGGAACAGGTCCTGACACACAGCCCTGTGTGGGAGGAGCAAAGGGAGGGAGGGACAGGGCTGCAGAATGACACCCCAAGCTCAGAGGACTGAAAGTTTTGCTGGACTCTCCCCAGCCTCCACCTCGGGCTTCCTGCTGGCTTCCTCCTGTTGGTTCCTGGGAGGGTCCCCCGCCTGCCTTGGTGACCTCCAGCTAGTGGCGATCGCGCGCGCGCGTGGGGTCGGGTTATGCAGTGTGAAGTGGGTTCAGTGTCCTGTGTCCATGCCGTGCCCAGCACAGTGCCTGACACAGTGAGGCTGTGACAGGAAGCCACGCGAGGCACAGAGTCCTTGTCCATCCGGCAGGACCCAGGCCGCCCTCAGCCAGCTGGCTGGCACTGGCCCGGAGCTTCGCCTCTGGACCTGCGGCCACTCCCGGTGACCAGGCAGAGGCAGGCGTGGACAGGCTGCCTCCCACCCCAGGGAGGAGCCGCTGCCAGCTCCGATCCGATAGGGTCCAGGCCGTGTTTTGGAAGCTGTGTTTACGGCTCCATCCTCCTCCCTGGGCTCCAGCGGCGGCCGCGGCAGTAGCGAAATCAGAGCCCGCACACAGCTCCCGCAGCCCGGCTGAGCGGGAGGCAACACCAGGGCTGCTCCGTGGAGGCCGAGCAGGGAGGACCGAAGGATGAAAGATTCTGAAAATAAAGGTACGACCGGCGTGGGGATGCGGGGGGACGCGGCGGGTAGCCCCGGACAGGTGGAGGCCGAGCGGCGTGGACCCGCGGCTGGCTCTGGTTATGTAACCGCAGGTCCCTCCCGGCGACTCGCAAACATTATGTCATGGCCTGCGCCTTTCAGTCGCCCTGCACAGGACTCTGGTTTTGGGTTCGGGCTCAATCTGGCTGAGGTGCGCACCTTTCTGTTTTGCAGTTTGGCTTATCACGCTCCTAGTGTTTTGATGGTTTTTATTTTGGGGGTGTTCTCTGGCGCTTAGGGCATGGTGAGAGTGCCCTGAATGACTTGCGCACCGTGAGTCCCGTGCGTCCTGGGGATGCCCCTCACCCAGGGCCCTCGGTGGGCAGTCGTCTCTCTGGGGCCCTGGGGCGCTGCCTGACCTTCAAGACTGTTTACCTTACAGGGAGGTTTGCAGGCGCAGCTGTTCCCACCCCATCCTCAAACCCCCCAAAGCTCCAACCAAACTAATTTGGTGGCGAGGGGAGCGGAGGGGAGGAGAGAAATGGATTTAAATGGAGACTCAGGAAAGGAAAAGGTTCCCTGACACAGCTAGTCTAATTTTAAGTTCATAAACCAGAATTTAGGGGTTTTAAAAATTCCCAGCTCCTTAAATTTTCTGCTGCAGTTGGGGGTAGAGCCATGGAGGCTCTGCGTGGTCCCTCTGGGACCTCCTCCTGCAGTGTCCGTAGGTCACACTGATTCTGGGGTCCCCAGCTCCCTCACACCCTGAGCTCCCTGGCCCAGGTGGACTTTCCCAGTCCTCTATCCCCAGGGGTGGTGCCACCTCTACCCTGCAATGGGCCCATTAGATGGAACTCCGTGTGTAAAAAAGAAAAACAAAACACAGCCCCCCAGCCCCCCACCAGAGTCCACAGAGACCTCTGACTCCTGCGCCCCAGCAGCCCTGCCCTGCTAAGCTGGCTTCCATGCCCAGCACCCCTGTTGGTGCCACCGGGTTTCCGGGCTCTGGTTCCTACTCATCCAGGCATCAATCTGTGCGGTTTGGATGTCTAAGTCTGAGTTATGCAGCCGTGGTGAGAACAGCATCCATCTGTTTCCCCCTGCACCGAGGGGGCCTCACCTGCAGGAAGGACAGGCCACACCTGCTGTGAGCTCCCATTGAAATGAACTCTGGGAAAGACAGCAGGGATTTGCAGCAGCTGGCGAAAGGGTGCCTGGAAAGGAAAAAACGTGCTGCTTTGCTAAGTCATGCTAGGCCCCAGCATGATGCAGAGAAAATTACACTGAGGTCGGAATTCAGCACCCTTGGGACGGAACCTCGCTAGGTCTGAGTGAGTTGAGGCTGGCAGTGTCTCTCCCAGCCCAGGAAGTTGGAGGACCCCAGGATCCTTCCCTCACCTGGAGGGGGGAAATGAGGAAAGGGGGGGGGGCAACCTTTCAGGTGGCAAAAGGGGAGGGTGGATGCTGATGGCTGTGCCTGACCCTGGACCTGGGGGTCCCTGTCACATCAGTGAGAAGAGCCCAAGTCGCAACTTGTTACTCTGGTTTGCAAGGAGTCTGTGAAGTGTAGTGTCCCGTGTGTGTGTGTGTGTGTGTGTGTGTGTGTGTGTGTATACATGTATGCGTGTGTGTGCATGCGTGAGCATCTGGAGGAAGAGTCAGTGGTTCCTCTCAGATTTGCAAAGAGGTCTGAGACGCCCCCTAAAGGGCCCAGTGGTGAGGGACTCCTGGTCCCCGAGACCTTTGGAAGCCAGTTTCTTGGGATGGAAGAATTCGGTCAGGGCTGGACGGGGTATGTGGACAAGCCCAGCTGAGCATGTGATGGACAATGGTGTGCTCGTGTGTGACCATGGCAACCAGACCGGCCGCTGTGCATGGGTACCAACTCGGGGCCTGAATACAGAACAAACACCCTCAAATCCAGTGGTTTCTGAGGACCACAGGACAACTCCTGAGCTGTGTGTGCTGTCTGGCATGGATGAGCAGGACCAGGCGAAGTTTCTGAGGGTGAATACATGATGAGAGTGCTGGGATTGGAGGTTTTAGAAGCGCTGTCCAGGCTGGTGTGCGGCGTGTGCTGGATGGGGCTCACCGCCTCCCCTCCCTCTCCCACTCATGGGCGCATCTTCGAGTGGCGCGGTGAAGGTTTGCTGGGGTTATTTTGTGTTTTTGCAGGCACCGTGTTCAGTCACCGTGCTCACGTCACACAGCCTGAGTGTTTTCAGCCTTTCCCCCCCTCCCCTCCCATAGCGTGGCCCCTTCCCCTCTGCGACAGTGCAGTCTTTAAGTAGAAAAGACTTGGTGTAACACATCTCTGAGCACCTCAAAAGGCTCCGTGAGCCAAGCTTGGCAAATTGGGTACGAGGCAAGGAAGAAGCAGAAAAAGTTGACTCAGTTAATGAGTAAACACTGATCAACGTGACAGCTGATTATTATAACAACCACGGCTCCCACTTGAACAAGTAGCTGATGAATAGTTTGGGAGAAGTGTGACTTACAGATTGTCCTGGCACGGCAAGGTAGGAGGTATTTTACGGGAAGGAAATGAATTAAGAATTTCACTAGTTTTCTAGCTTATGTTTGCTTGGAAAGTAGATGTTTCAATACTGCAGATCTGGTGTAGATTTCTCTTCCAATACAGTCTTTGAGCATTTTATTTTATTTTAGTTATATTTTTGAGATGGGCCTTGCTGGTCTTGAACTCATTATGTAGCCCAGGTTGGCCTTAAACTCAGGATCCTCCTGCCTCAGCCTCCCAAGGGCTGGGATTAGAGGTGTGTGCCAACATGCCCATCGGAAAATTGTGGTTTTTTTTGGTCTATACTAGGTTAAAACAAATTTTCTTCTGTTATTTTTCTAGATTTTATTTCAGAATTATAAACATACCATTTTGGGAGCAAATGAAGTTATGTGTAACTTTTAAAAATAGAAGTTGGGCGTTGTGTGTGGAGTGGCCTGGAAACAATTATTACTTGGCGTTATTACAGAACCTGACTGGGAGGTGAACTGAGTCAGACCCTACGTGTTAAAAAAATACTATGTTGTCTGTGCCCCAACCTGTCATCAAAATAAATAAGTGTAAGGGAATCCAAAACACTGACTTTTTCCTGGCCCATCATGTCTACCTGGGTATTCAGGTTCTCAGGGATTTCTGTTGTTGCTGCTTCTGACAGGCTGCTGGCACGACGGCTTTTCTCCTGGGCAGTTTGGAGGCTATGAATGTTCTCCAGGCCTCGGGGCTCCTGTGTGGTGAAACTTGGAAGACAGCTCTGTCTACTACACCTCCTTCTTTGGGGACAGCCGTGCCTGCAGGGGACGGACAGCTGGAAATTCGCACTTTTGTTTTTTAGGTGTCACATGATCCAGGGCCTGCAGAGCATTCCTGGACAGAGACAGAAATGCTCCCTGTCCAGCCGCCTTCTGTTCTGGATCATTCCACTCGGGGATAAATTCAGGCGTTTTGCTGATGAGGTGGGCGGGAGCCTCCGGCTCTTCCCAGCCTAGGGTGTAGGGCAGCTGCACATGAATACTGTAGCCTCCTGGCTCCAGGAAGCTGCGGCCCCGAGGAAGATCACACTGGATCTGTTCACAGAATTGCTGCCCCGGGGAGGCCGTCCTGTCTGAGCCCCCAGCTCACGTCCTGTTCTGCCCTGGGTCCCGTTCTGCATCCTCCACCACAGGTCTGCTGAGTGCTGGGAACCCATAGGGTTGTGGTAGAAATGGTTTCCTTCACCTCTGCTTGTTTGTAGTTGAACCATGGTATATTTGTTTGCCTTTGCGTTAAGCTGTGTTATTTTTGAATTTCACCGCTTCATGATAGTCAGTGGAAAATGAGAGAGAGAGAGAGAGACAGACAGACAGACAGACAGACACAGGAGCAACTGCAAAACCAGCTCCTGGCCTCTGAGTTTTAATGCTGTGGTAGCTGCTGCCATGGTGACATTTCGTGTCTGAGTTTTCCCTGCAATATAGAAATACATTAATTTTTTTGTTTTGTTTTGTTTTTTGTATCAGGGATTGAACTCATGACCTTGCACTTGCCAGGAAGGCGCTTATGCCACTGAGCGAAACCCCCAGCTCTGGAAATAGAACCCATTTTTATATGCTGATTTTATTTCCATGACTTTGCTAAGGTCACTAATTTTAATAGTTTTCAGCTTTCTGGGCTCCACTGTGGACAGTTTTATTTCTTCCTTTCTGGTCGTCCTGTGGTTCCCTCAGTCTCACCATGCGTGCAGGGTCTTTCCTGAGACCCCAAGTCTACGGGTGAGGCAGGCAGCCTCATCTTGTTCTTGATCTCAGGCAAAGCCATCCTGAAGTGTAGTATTTCCTGAGGGATTCACGTAGGCAACTTTCGTTAGGTTAAGAAAGTTATGTAAGTTGTATTCTTGGTATACAATTTTTTAATCTCATGAATTGATTTGATATGGAGTTTTATCAAATACTTTTTATTGTGTTAACAGGATGGCAAATTGCATTTTTTTTTTTTTTTTCTGAGACAGGATCTCACTATGTAGACCAGACTGGCCTTGAACTTGGGCTCCTCCCACATCAGCCTCTCTACTGGGATTACTAGTGCTTCTCACACTGACTTTTGAGTATTCAATTAGCTTTTATTTCTGGAATGAAGTCAACTAGGTTGTGCTGTTATTTTTTCTATATATTGGTAAATTTGCCTGGCTAAGATTTTACTGGGGTATTATCTGTTATTTTATTTTATTTTTGCTGAGGGTTACCTTTGCTCATGATGAGATTAACCTGCACTTTGCTGTTGCTGTGGTGGTCTCACTGGGAACTGGTACCAAGGACACAATGACCTTAAAATTGAATTCAGAAGTCTTTGCTTTTCTTAGAACATTCCCTGGAAGAGCTTAAAGCCTGGCTTGCATGTGTAGAAAAGTCAGAAACCCGTGCAATCCTTGCTGTGCTTCTTTTCTGTGTTATGTTCTCATTTTGCACCTCCTGAGCTTCTACTTGTCTCTATTATTTCCTTTGTGATTTTGTACCTGTG